AACAATCAACGACATGTGGAATCAGTTGAGTCAGAGATTGATGACTCGTTTACAACAACACAACCCGTTTATTAAACACGAAAGAAGCTTACAAAATTTCCGTGATCTTGGAAGTTCTACTTCGGCTGCGGCCTCGGGGTCTTTCTCTCCTTTCCAAGATTGTCCCATTGGGAATGAGTGTCCTTGGTTCGTGAATGACCAATTCCATCGACGTCTCCGGACGAAGAGGTCAACTTCCATTGATGGAAAGATGTCGATCCGAGGTCGGGAGATGGAGACGAAGATGGGTTCGAGACACACACACTACATTAGATCCGTCACTTGGGACTTTCGGGAGAAAAAGCCCCCGCGTCCTTGAATGTCCGGGGATTTATCCGTTCCCTCCGATTATACTTTCCGATTGGTCTCTCCTTGTCACCTGATGACAATTCGAAACCTTTCGGTGGCGCGGGAGAGGTCAAAATCGAAGTTTAATTCGATCTCCAACCGGAGATAGTCGATCTTCGATTTTCCATTGTTCTATTGTTTAAAATTTCGCGTCGTTTTCAGAAAAAAAACTATTTCCAACTTCTATTTTTTTTCTAAAAAAAAATAATTTTGCCTTTAAAAATAAATGATTTTAACGCAAATTTTTAGTGAGGTTCGGACCTGTCCAGAGCCTCACAATCTCATTATTAAAGTAATATTTGTGATAAATAAATGTACCTTAATCCTACATATATTTTTTTTATTCTATATGAACTGTTCCTATTGGTACTGTGAGGAGTGCAGTGCCAACCAGTACGGCTGTTTTCAATCGACAAATTAAACAGATTCTTAATTAAGATGTTGTCGAGATCTTCCAAGTTACTTCCTTGCATGCATCACTGGTATAAATTAGAGGCGACCAAAGGGGGGGCGCAATGATAGGATCTCGCTCTATCCTAAAACTTACCTCGGGCCGGCACTGGTCGTAATGGCGGAAAGTGTAGCAAAAACGATGAGGAAACAAATAGATTTGAAATTCTTCATCGAAGAAGTTAGAAAATACAGATGTCTGTACGACAAAAAATGTAAATAATTCAAATTTATTAACAATTTCATTGTTAATAAATGCAGAGAAAGCATGGCAAAATCCGTAGCGTCGTCCATGTTTGACTCTACGACAATTACAGAACTGATCAACAGATGGCGCTTTTCAAGTGGAGTCAAGTTAAAACGAAAACGTAACTGAAACGAAAACTATATGTTCCAGTTCTGTTTCTTACTTTATGTTTTTAGGAGTCCAGGCTTAACTTTTTTGTTTGCTTTCTGTACAAAATTTTGAGATTTTTAAAAATGTTTTTGTATTGCGGCATTGACGCAATTCAATTTTGGTGGTTAAAGATCGAGGGGGTGAACAGACAAACGAAGGTCGTGTCATATCTGCAGTAGTGGACCTACTGGAGATATGACACACGACCCTCATTCACAAACTTAATGATTTCACTTGTTATTCCCATTGACAATTTTTTTATATGACTCATCCATAAGCTTTTTGCTATTTTATAATAATTAATAATATAGAATGTATTAAATTATTAAATATCATAACAGGTGGCGGCACACTCAAATGTTGCCCGGTAAGGTAAGTATTACATAAAATTTAATAAAATCATTTTTAATTAATTAATATGATCATAGTTGAGGTTCGAATACAAGAGAAGATTTCTTAAAAATTTATTGTAATTTTACTAAAATTTTAATAAATTTTACACTGTTAGTATGAAATAATTAAAGAAGGGAATTTACATATTTTAAAAGACTTAGCGTAGAGAATGGAAATTTTAATTACTTTGAATATGAATTTGTGTGATATTTATGATTGTTTTATTCTTTCTATTTAGTTAATTTTCATCTTGAAAATACAGAAAACGGAAACTAAAGAAGAAGAACGAAATTGAATCCTGCAAGAATGAAATGCACGATTCACTCTTAAGAATTTGTATTTTACAGGCTTGAACGTTGTGAATCTTTTTATAGGAGACGTGTTATGAAGGAAGTATTTTATAAAAAATTCAATATTCGTTTTATTCGAATTTAACATAGTATTATACAATTATACATTTAACAATACAAATTAATAGGATTATGAATAAAACATTGTAATGTTAAAAAACTCAAATTAAATTAATTTTATAGAATTTATTTCATGTGTGTTATTACTTTCAGTTGTTCTTTCGATGAAACACAAAGATCAGAAGAAAATATTTTCCAAGATTAAAGAAAAAAATTGTGTATTAGATACTGTTTTACTTACATCGATGCTTTTCATTGGAAAATATAGGCTAATTGAAGAAGCAGGAGAGAGATCTATTTCATGGAATAAGGATCAATCGAAAAGTGTGAAGATATAAAAACACTTTTAAAATGTTTTACAGAAATTGTTTATTTAATATGTCAGCCTTGATTATCTGTGTTTAAAAATAATATTAGTAATATGATATAATTACACTCCAACTTTGTCATTGTGAAATTAGTTTTTTGGTTTGATACAGACATCTGCTTTTCAATATAAAAATGTTTATTTTAGTTAAATATTATTACTGATTATTTATTGCTTCTATTGAAGAAAATTAATTTATTACGCACAAATAAAATATTATTTAACACAATTTTTTTAATTGCAGATAAAAGGAACCAAAAGAAATTTTCATGTAAACACTGTAAGAAGAACTTCACAACTAAACAAAACTTGCAAACCCATGAAAGAATACATACAGGAGAAAAGCCTTACACTTGTGAAGAATGTAAAAAGAAGTTTACACAAAGAGGAGGCTTAATTAAACATCTTCGCATTCACACTAGAGAAAAACCTTACACTTGTGAAGAATGTAAAAAGAAGTTTACACAAAGAGGAGACTTAATTAAACATCATCGCATTCACACTGGAGAAAAACCTTACACTTGTGAAGAATGTAAAAAGAAGTTTACACAAAGAGGAGACTTAATTAAACATATTCGCACCCACAATGGAGAACAGCCTTATAGTTGTGACGAGTGTAAACAGAAGTTTTCTCGAAAAGGAAACTTAATTATACATCTTCGTACCCACACTGGAGAAAAGCCTTACACTTGTGACGAGTGTAAACTTCTGTTTACACAAAGAATAGACTTAATTAGACATCTTCGCACCCACACCGGAGAAAAGCCTTACACTTGTGAAGAATGTAAAAAGAAGTTTTCAGTAAAAGGAAACTTAATTAGACACCTNGAAATAGAAAGCCACTTTCAACCACTTTCAGCCTCATATCTCCCGCACCCTTATAGCTATCGAGACGCAACCACCCCTATGCACGAATGGAGACTTGGGGCTACCACCACATACAAACACCATTCACGTGCGATGTGTAGTTTTGGCGAAAACGTGAGATATAGGGACATACATGTCCATTTATATATATATATAGATAGATATAGATATAGATATAGATATAGATATAGATAGATATAGATATAGATAATAATTAAGATTTAAGTAAAACTGGTTTAAAATTACAATAATTTTTTAAGTTTTTGAATTTCCTTAAAGTTTCAATTAAAAAAGCATCACGATATTTATACTCAGATGTAATTCTTTTCCATTTTTATCATACTATAAAGTACAACTTTTTTTGTTGACAGACAGAACTCTGTATTTATTAGCACACGTTGTTTTAACACAAAATTTAGAAAATTTCAGCAAATTCGAATTCTTTATTTGCAAATTTATGTTTGAATATACAGTCGACCCCCCTATAAGATAGAGATACGTTCCATTCTCTATGAATCCGATTTCTTACGAATTCTTCCAATCACAATCCGACACGTGTCAAGTTTACGGACTACGGCTGTTTGAAAGATTTTCTTCCATTAAATTAATCGATTCTAGACTAATCCGACTCAACATTTCCAAAATACGTATATTTTTTTTGGNTCAAACATCGATGTGAAATCCGACATCGAAATTTAGCATCGATGCTTAAACAAACATCGATGTTTGACATCGATGTTAAAATTATAGAAATCGCACAGCACTGGTTTCGTTCGAAACGTCATCACCTCAGAGCATGCGCACTGAGCGAGACTTCTACTTTTCGAACGATTTGTTACTAACGCGTTTAACTCGTTTGACTTTACGAACGTACCCTTAATCGCCTTCTCAACTTCTTTAAGATTTTCTGCAACAAGAAGCACGGTGGTTCCCCCAAAGATCTCATCATCATAGCCGACAGTATCATCGGTAGCATCATTACCTACACAATCCCTGGCATCGCATCCCTCACGCCCACCCACTACAAAATCCTCGACTCATGCCAGACTCAATACCTCAAACCCCCTACAACCAACAATATTGTTACCCTCCGAGCAGCCAAAAAGACCACGATCGAACTACGCTTCCAAAAGATCATCATTAACCAGTACAGCAAGTACAGTACCTAAAAAAAGCGAACGTCGACCGTCTCTTCCACGAGATCCTTCACCTTATCCATCACCCAGACGGTGCTGCCTTGGTCAAGCTGCCGCTCAACCATTTCACCCGCAACTGGATCTCCCGCCACAACATCAACATCTCGCCCGACAACCTCCCCTCGGATAACCCGCGCCCGCACACCCTCCACCATATATCTCTCGATGACTACGACTTCCAGTGCACAAGCAACCCTAACGACAGCATCCGTCTGTTATTTGGGATCTGGCACCTCCATTAGTCTTCCCACACCTTCATTGCCACTGACGGGTCCAAATCACCGCACAGAGTCTCAGCTGCGTACGTCGATGACACCCACAACGTTACCGCCCACTACACCCTCCACCCTGAAGCCTCTATCTTCACGGCCGAGGGCTACGCCATCCTGCAGGCAATCTCCTATGCCTCTACTACCTCCTGTGACGATACCGTCATATGCACAGACTCTAAATCGATTCTCACTGCCTTGGCTAATTATAATGCCAACTCCCCTACCATCATTCATAGCATTCACGAATGCCTCCACACCCACTACTGCCAAGGCAAACACCTTGGCAGTAGTGGGTGTGGAGGCATCATCCAACATACCCATCTTGGCATCGACATCAACGAAAAAGCCGACGCCCTCACTAAAAGTAAGCCGCCAACTTCTGTGAACTCCAACTTCATCACACCTGAAGACCTCCACGGGGTTCTGATCCTCGATCACCAGCAGATCATGGAAGACGCCTGGAACAACTATCATAACCACTCCAATTACCCCTGGCTTCACGACTTTTCCCACATCACCATCCCCTCAATCACCGATCGAGGCATAAACGTCCTTGTCAATCGCGCCAGGACTAACTCGCTACTTACCAACCACTAACCCGGAAAATCCAAAAAACTGATAAATGCAGCACATGTCCCGGTCAAATCGACACATCCTTGCACCGCCTCGACTACTGCCCTAATTTTGACAACATCCGGAAAAAAATTCTAAACGACTATCCTATCAACACACCAAATAACGCCAAGATCTCCAATTACCTCAACCTCTCTCCTCCCGCCACCTGTCAGGAGGCCTTGATCACCCAAGGTCTTAGATTTATAAGGTTGCCTCATACAGCCGATTTAGCCACTTCCTGCCAGATTCCGGATATACGTCATCCGTAGTCGAGCCGTGGCCTAGCCACTGCTTCACTACTGTAAGCGAGGGAAGGAAATTTTGGAATTTAACAATTTTTTTTTAATTTGTCGAGCGTTTTTAGACTCATAATCTTCGAAGGTAAATATATCTATAGTTATTACTATTATTAAACATAATTATGTTGATAATTATATCGATAAAAATTGTTCGGAAGTAACAAAAGTGTTCCTAGAACAGTTTGATATTCTGTTGTAGTCTTTACTCTTCGTTCTGTAGAAATTACAGAATATGGTTACGGATAAAATATATTTATTAATAAAATACTTTAAAATACTAAGAATAGTTTTCTGCATGTATAAAAATAGTATCTGCTCAGTGAAATGACGACTACAAATAATAAGCTGGCCGGTAACAGGATGGTAACACTTAAGATAACCTGCGATGTAAAAGAATATTGTTTATTATTAATTAATATAACTTTTTAAAATATGCATATTTACGCAAATACCTAAATTTTATTATTATTATTTTTAGATGCCAGGAGCAACATGTGCTGTTGCAAATTGTGATAACAGCCATTGTAAAACAAAAGTCATTAGACAGGAAAGTCAGTTATTTTAGATTTCCTAAAGATCCAATAATAAGAAGAAAATGGATCCATAACTGTAAAAGAAAAGACAAATTTAATCCTGATTCTTGTCATGTTTGCTCTGATCATTTCACAGAAAATGATTTTGAAAGAAATTTAAAAGCTGAATTATTAGGTTTATTGACAAGACCTAAACTAAAGAAAACTTCAATACCAACAGTAAATTTAGGAAACATAGAAAATAAAAATATTAAGCAGTCAAATGAAAGAAAGAATAGTGTATTAAAAAGAAATAGAAAAAACCTGATAGAAAAACTTTTAGATGTAAATAAACAGGATAAAGGAGAAGAATCT